CCCCAAAACCCCAAAACCCCAAAACCCCAAAACCCCTACCTTTTGAGTTCAAATTGAAAAATCCTTTATAAACTTGAAACAAAATGGATATATTTAGCATCATTATTTTAATTTTGAAATGGATCACCCTTACGGCCGTCTCTTTTTGCATGTACTTGGTCTGGATTTTTGTGGTTAATCCTTGGAACCAGCAAAGAAAGTACAGGAAGTACAAAAATGTTTATGTACCAGAGAGACTAAATGCTCCCTCTGGAGATCTTATTGAGGTAAAAGTTTCGTCACAATTTTTATAGATGGAGGAAAAAGTGGCGAACGGGAAGTTTAGATTTCAGTATTTGACTGATTTTGATCCGACAAAGTATGATATTAGGCTTGGGCATCTTGGACCGCATACTCATTTTCAGTTGATATCCCACAGAGCTCATGAAGAGGTGAATAAGTTGATCCCTGCAGTGGTAGATAGACATACTGCTAAATTTGGAGTTCAGTTTGGACCTTTGATCAAGGATACTCTTGGATTGAAGAGGTCGACAAAGATGTTTAAGAACAAAAGGCAGGTATTCCTAAAGATACTAGGCTTTAATTACTCTTCTAAGTACATCTCAACCATGATCAATGTTGTCAAAGAAAAAATAGCTACGTGGCAAGAAGGTCAAGAAGTAAACGCATTGCTAGAAATGGGCAATGTGGCTCTCAGAATTATCGTCCAAATTACCTTTGGAAAGGATGCTGACTCTAAAATGCCTAAATTAAGTTATATTAACCCTGATGGTTCAAAAAGCTTGATGAACTTCTATGAGTTCTTCCCAAAGTTAATGGCAGATCTTCTGAAAGCTGAGTTTTACCCTCTTAATGTTGTATTCCCGTTTTTATTTCTAAACGGATGGTTGTATCCAAATAATATCAACAAGAAGAACATGCTGGAGCTAAGGTCCAAAATGAGCAGTTTCATGGATACGATTGAGGATAAGGATTCAGTCTATAAACAATTGGTCGATAACCATAAGTTCAAGAAAGAAGATATTTTTGATGATATCATTGGCCTAGTGCACGCAGCCCATCAGACCTCTCACCATACTGTCTGCACTGTTCTTTTTAATATCAAGAAGCACCCTCAATGGCTTGAGAAAATTCAGAAAGAACTTGAAGATGCTGGGCTCACTACAGGATGTGATATTGAAGCAAAGTTGACTAGGGATGTGATCCATGAATCCGCGAATTTAGCCTGAGTTGTAAAGGAAGCATTGAGATTTGACCCTGCTGGAAATCTTTCACTAGCATACAAAGCTTATAAAGATACCAAAATTTGTGGAGTACCAATTCCAAAGGGATCCAAGCTCATGGTTTCAGTGTCTTCTACACATTATAACAAGGAGCAATTCCCAGATCCTTATAAATTTAAACCAGAGAGATTTGACCCTCAAAGCGATTGCTTTTATATTGGAGGCTCGAAGGGGAAAGCGAGACATCCTTTGTCATACATCCCCTTCTCATTTAGCGAGAGGAAATGCCCAGGAATGATCTTCGCCTTAATGGAAGTGAAAACAATTATCTGCTACTTCCTTCAAAGAGTAGAATACTCTATTGATCCTAATTTACTGAAGGACGATAAGGTTAGATATGGTATTTTTACCAATTTCCAACTAGGGTTAAAAATTGAAAAGATCAAATAAGAATTTAGCTTCAATTTGTTAAACTTGAATAGGGGTTTTGGGGTTTTGGGGTTTTGGGGTTTTGGGGTTTTGGGGTTTTGGGG